AACCTCTCCATCTCCCAAACCACTAACATCGGCATCCAGATTGTGAGACCCAACCTCCTCTTCTTCCAACATGACTAAACGTTGCCTCCTTTGACCCCTCCAGCCCATTGACTTCTGTCCTTTGTCTCTTATCATTCAGCATGTCAACCCCACTTTTGCCACTTCTCAATTCCTTGGCAAAAGGAATTTGCTCCTCTGCCCTAGTGATTTCCTCACCTGAGCCTGCACCTGAGCAGACAGCTGAGCTCTGATGGAGCAAATCACATAGGAAGGCCCAAGGGTACCTTATAAGTTCACACCACCAACCTCAAGTGGGTTGCCATGTTGCCGTACCATATGGCCATTTCTCTGGTCATCTCAACCTTCCCACCTTCTACAATGACTCTGTCACACCTTCTCCACTCTCTTCAGAATCTCTCAGCTATCCTTGCCTCACCCCCAGCCTCCTGTATGTTCCAGAGCAATAGAAAGTCATGGTGTGGAAAGATTCAATGTCCCACACCAAACCTGCTGGCTCCTGTTACAATAGTGGAGGTAGCCTCCTGCATGAGGTCAGCCTTTTCTATCCATACACTGGTTCCATCCTCTCCCATGGTCATAGGAACCTTTACTGTCCACTGTCCTTTCACTGCTATACCTCATCTTCCTCTTCTCTATAGGATCCTCCCCATCTGCATTTAAACACACTCAAGTTATTCTATCGTAAACCCACTGCTGACATAACAATCCTCAACATCTATTTCTCTCTGACTCTTTGACCCTTTCTGCTTGCATGAAGTAAGTGCCTTTCTTCATTTCTTCACCTCTCACTCACTCCTCAATCCACTCCAGTCTATCTCTTTGCGAGTCACTGCTCCATGAATGTCCCAATGATACCAAGGCCAGTCAATCCAGTGGATATTATTTAGTCCTCATATCCCTTGGTCTCTCAGTCATTTTGAGGGCTGCTGACTACTGCCTTCTTATAACATGTTCTTTCCCTGGGCTCTGGGACCCCACCTCCTCAAGCTCCTAGTTTTCTTCCTGCTTATCTGGCTGCTCTTCCACTTCATCTGCAGGATAGTTTGCCTTGGGCCAGCTGAAAAAAAAATTGTTTTTAATGTTTGTTTTTGAGAGAGCCTGTGCATGTGTGCAAGCGGGGGAGGGGCAGAGAGGGATGGGGGGACACAGCATCTGAAGCAGGCTCCAGGCTCTGAGCTGTCAACACAGCACCCAGTGTGGGGCTCAAACTCACAGTAAGATTATGACCTGAGCCAAAGTTGGATGCTTAACCAACTAAGACACCAAGGCCCCTCCCCCACCCCAGTCCAGCTTTTACCTAAGAGTTCCTCAGGGCTCAGTCCTAGGCATTCTTCTGGTCAAACTCTCTGTTCTCTTAGGAGACCACCTCATTCTCCTGGCTTTATTACCACTTCTACACTTATTACTTTGGCTCCAGCCTCTCCTCAGAACATCAGATACTACAACCAACCACCTGCTCAACATCTCCACTTGGATGTCTCACAGGCACCTCAGACCCACCTTGATCAAATGTGAACATTGGGAAGGTTTTCTCAATCCTTTTCCCTGAAGGCCCCCCAACTGAGAAAATAGCATCGCTGGCCATCTGGTTGAAGAAGCAGATGGGGCGCCTGGGTGGCGCAGTCGGTTAAGCGTCCGACTTCAGCCAGGTCACGATCTCGCGGTCCGTGAGTTCGAGCCCCACGTCAGGCGCTGGGCTAATGGCTCAGAGCCTGGAGCCTGTTTCCGATTCTGTGTCTCCCTCTCTCTCTGCCCCTCCCCCATTCATGTTCTGTCTCTCTCTGTCCCAAAAATAAATAAACGTTGAAGAAGCAGAGAACTGGGAGTATTCTTTGAGTCCTCCCCAGTTAAGCAATCACCAAGTTTTGTTGGTATCTACTTCTCTCCATTTGCTTTACCACTTAAACAGCCCCTTTCATTTATATTTTGGCAACAGCCTCCTGTCTCTCAACCCCCTTTCTCCCTCTTCCCTATTCCTTCTTCACATTGTGGTCAGAGTGATCTTACTGAAAATGGTATTCTAGGCCCTACAAAATCAAGCCCCTGCCTACCTCTCCAACTTCTCCCTCAACCACATTCCCTTTGTAGTCTAAACCAGCCAGGAACTCTCCTCCATTCTCCTCTCTGCCTGCTCGCTCTTCAGAGCTCAACTCAAATGTCACCTCCTCTTGGACTCCCCAAATGGTCACACCACCTTGAGCTTCCTTGGCCCATATCACAATTGCAATTATATAATTGATAGCGCATGTGATTGTGTTTTTTAAAATGTTTATTCATTTATTTCGAGGGAGACAGAGCTCGTGAGTGGGGGAGAGGGACAGAGAAGGAGGCAGAGAATCCCAAGCAGGATCCACGCTGTCAGCGCAGAGCCTGATGTGGGTCTCGAACTCAGAAACTGTGAAATAGTGCCATGAGCTGAAATCAGGAGCTGGATGCTTAACCGACTAGGCCACCCAGGCACCCCAATAATGCACTTCATTGTTAAACTCTCTCTCCAGCTAGACTGTGAGCTCCGAGAGGGAAGTGTTTTACCACATTCACCACTCCAGTGCCCGGCACTGTGCACTGTGCCATGCACCTAGTAGGTGGTCAACACATATTTGTTAAATAAATAAATAATACATCTTTACCTATGGATGATGGACCCAGGACCCAACCCAAGTGTAAAGACTACCGCCAAGTGGGGTATGGAATTTAGCATTGAGTAATTCTCCCCAAGGAACAATGTTAACTGTTATAGATACACTCCCAACTGCATTAATTAATAGCAGGATGGAGAGAATGCCCTTATGTGCTTAGAAACAATATATCAATCTGATGGCACAGAAAAATCTTCAGATGTCAGTCTGGTCTTATCACAGTAGTTAATCAGAAAGGCAGCATAGAGATACCTTTATTTAAACCAAGGAACATGGACTCAGGATTAATTACTTTGATGCAGAATGAAAGACATAGGCTTTGTTTGTCTATTAATTTATACTTTATGTACTCTTAAAGAGTTTCTAATCTCTAAGGGCACCTGGGTGGCTCAGTCAGTTAATCGTCCGAATTCAGCTCAGGTCATGATCTCCCCACGTGTGAGTTCAAACCCCGTGTGGGGCTATGTGCTGACAGCTCAGAGCCTGGAGCCTGCTTCGGATTCTGTCTCCCTCTCTCTCTGCCCCTCCCTCAATCACACTGTGTCTCTCAAAAATGAATACATGTGAAAAAAAATTTTTTTAGGAATTTCTAATCCCTATATTTCTTTAAAAATGTGTTATTAGCTTTCTAAATTAAGAGAGTTAATACCACTGGAAAAATACAAAATTCAAAGTCAGTAAGGGTATAAAATTCATCTCCCCGCTTCCCACACTCCAATCCCACACTTGGGGTAACCGTGGTTAGCAGTCGGTGTGCATCCTTCTTGTTTTTCTATGAATATACAAAAATCCAACTTGTTTCTTGGACTTTTATGTCTCAGTCTTAAGAGAACCATGTGATCAACATAAAAGCAAAACGTTCTGAAGGCTGAAAATAAAAACTTTCCCAGATCTGGCTCTGAATTCCTGTTTCTAGAAGAGTGCACCCACGTGGCTCCGTGCATCCAGCAGCAAAGTGTTCTACTCTGAGCTTGGAGAAGAGTTAGGGTCCACAGTCAAGTGGGCTGAGCTCACGGGTCCCTGAATTCCTACATTTGCAATTCCTTCCCCTTCGGCTAATTCCACCTCAGAAAGCCTTCCGAAAAATGCAAATATTTGAGGGTGTCGTGTCCTTAATTGTTCAGTCTGGCTATGTAAAGGAGACCTTTTTCTTCCTGAAGAGATAAGGACCAAGAGAGGGAGGTGCTCTCAAGTGTGCCTGCCGCCAGTGGTGAGCTGGCTGCGCTGGGCCTTCCAGACCTGGGCAACCTCCCCACGCGGTCGCGCAGGGCTTACCTGGGGCTCCCCAAAGTTGTTTTCACAGCGGCTGGGACTCGCCTTAAAATGCAGTGCTCTGGCGAGCCAGCGGGGGCGCTGGGCTGGGAGGATGCGTCTATGGTTCCAGGTGTTTCGGCCGGTGTGTGTCGTCGGCCCCAAATCCTCACCCCGCAGCGGGGAGCCGAAGGTGTGAGCGTCAGAGTTCAGCCATTTAGGCAGTTCCCAGGCGTCCGCCCAGCTCCTCTGGGCCGCGGTGCGAGTTGGAGGCGCAGCGTCTGGACACCTTATTTCTGGCTTTCAAGACTCGCGTGGAACCTCGAGGAAATTCTCTGCAAGACACCGCAAGGAGAACTAAAACTTCCCCCTCACCAATTAGTGGGCGGCCTCATAAATCCGAAGATCGGGCGGCAATGCCAAGTAGGGCATCACTGTAGGCCTTGGGCTCTAGGGCGTCATTTGGGTATCCGAGAGGTGGCGGCGGGTTATGGGCACGTGGGCAGAGAGCAATGGTCAAGTCCCATTCTGGCCCTGGTTCCCCCTTACTCAGTGGAACCCCGGGTTTTGCGGGGGCGCACGCACCCAAACACCGGAACGGCGGCTGTGGTCCTGTATAGGCGCAGTTACAAACTGGTTCTGGCCATTTAAGGTCACTGGAGTGCTCCCCTGGCCATGTGCTTAGTCCCCCAACATCAGACGTACCACAAGAGGGGCAACCTGCAGTTGGAGGGATATAGGCTAGACCGGGTTTGGGGATACGGTCAAACTGCCGTGTTTTTCCGAGGGAGTCTACTTCCTGGGGTCCCCTTCCCCCGGCTTAACCCTTTACTGCCCACGTGTAGACCTGGGGGTCCCAGATGGTCCCCGGAAGTGAGGAGAAGCACGAGACTGGGCGAATCTCGGGCGCCAACTCGCAGACAGATTGACGCACGGCCTTCCCCAAACTTGGGGCGCGGGGCGGCGGGCCGGGCTGGGCGGTGACGTGAGGGGCGGTGCCGGGCCTGATTGGCGCGTGGGGCGGGGCGAAGGCGGGGCCGGACCGGGCGCCCAGAGGCGGTGGCGGCGCCTGGAGCCGGAGCCGGGAGTGAGAGGCGCGGTGGCAGTGGCGGCAACAAGTGCTGGAGACGAGCCGTGCCGGTGACTTCCCCGCCGCCGACACCACTGGGCCGCCCGTCGCGGTGCAACGCATGGAGCGTGAGCGGCGGCGGTCGCCGGGCTGAGCCGCGCCGAGCGGCCGGGACGTGGATGTGGCCGGGATCTCCCGCCCCCGCCCCGCTGAGCAGGAGCTGCTCCCGGACAAGGTAAGGCCGGGCGGGTGTGCCCCCCCACCCCCCGCCCTCCGCCCTTCCCTTCCCCCACCACCTCCCCAAGCCCTCTCCGCTTCCTTTCCATCTCTGCTCCCGGCTCCCCACTGCTCCGCACTGACCCCTCTCCCTCCCAATCCAGATCCTCGCCGGTTCCGGCTTCGTGCTGGCGCCCCAGAGGAGGAAACCATTCCTGGGTGGCTCCCGCCGCATTTAGGCGTCCCCCGTTTCCTCCACCTTTCTTACCCTAGAGGAGGAGGATAACAAAACCAGCAGCAGCGTGTCTTTTGAGTCTCTTGCCCTATTCCACCCCCACCCCCACGGGGCCGGGGGACATTCCCCCCTCCTCGCTGCACCCCAACTTCCGGGGGAGCCCGCGCTGGGTGATGCAGGCATTGCGAAGCGGCATCTGGGGCCCGCGTCCTCACCTGGCTTCCACGGGCGGTTTGGATAGGGGGCTGTGCGTGATTTCGCTCTCGCAACCCTCACCCCACCCTCTCATTGCGCTGGTCTCGGGTGCCGCATGGGGAGATCAGGTGTTTTGTGAGCCAAATAGCCGCCAGCAGCCGCTCCCCGCCCCCATCTGCCAGCCGCTGCCACCTCCGGGTCCCCAAAGGCTGGTTACTGTGAAACTTAGGGAGAACCTTTCGCTTTGACCTCTAAAAAAATGTTTCACGCCGCCCGCGTTGAATGATTAACCAGGCTACTTGCCTGAGACCTGGGGAGGGGGATGGGTGGGTGCTGCCGGGAGCGTGTAAGGCAGGCCCTTGCGAAACCTCTCATTGGAAGGGTGGGAGTGGGGGCGCGGGGTGGGACCCCGCTGAGGCCGCGGGCGGGGGTCCTGGAGGCTGTCCCGGGACGGCAGGCGGACTCTTCTGGAGGCAATAAAACCAAGTCACCTTAATTTCCAGAGTACGGTATTTTGCACTTAGGGCAGGGGAGCCCCAGAACCCATTATCTCCCCACACGTGTCACGGCGTGGAAGCCTACCTCTGAAAATAATACATTTTCAATCAGGGCGAGGAGGCTCCCTCTCCTCCTTAAAACGTAGAGATGGTATGTTTGTCTTTGCTTCTCTACCCTCATGGCCTCGTGAACCTTCCCAACTTCGTAGAAAGATAGTTTAGGACAATTATACCATATTCTCCTGCCCCTCCCTGTTGGAGCCTTGATGTAGATTTCAGATTGCTAAACCAGTTGGTGAATATGGGTGTCTACTTGTTATGACAAATTCTTCCGGTGTATTTTGCCTCCGGAGGTGGCCAACGGAGTCAGGATTGGGACTGGGAAGTAGGGGAGACCCGAGCCTAGCCCAGTCGAAGGGCTCTGGAGCCCAGCTGTCTGCTGGTCGCACCCATGCGGATCTGACAGCTGACCCCGGTGGGAGGACAGACAGGGTTGGGCGGTCACTTCTTCCCACTGCTCTAGTTCTCACTTCTCTTTCGTTTGAATAGAGGTTATTAAGCCTGGTGGAATTTGGGAGAGTGTTAGAGTCCCTGTGCTCTTAAATCAGATTAGATTTTAAGACGAGGGAAGTGCAGAACCCTATAGAACTCTCTACAAGTAAAGCTTTCTGCTCTGCGCAGCCTTTACCAATGCCTTTATCTTTGGATCTAATGTTTGAAATTACAATGTTGAAACTTTTCAGTTTGAAATGCTCTTTTCCTTTATGGCCGTATCCCAACAGCAGGGGCTCACTGCTCTTCATTTAGTTTTTGTGCAGAGGACATGTGTATGATGCAAGACCTAATTCTCCAGAACAGTTCAAGTTCCCACCCTCTCTGTTCACTGGTCTCGATTCTGCAACATACTGTTCAGTGACCTAGGGCAGGTTTGATCATCCCAGCCTTATTTTCCATAACTGGTTTTGGGGATGGTAACACCTGCTCCACCAGATTGTTTTTTAGGACAGATAGGATAATGTTTACCGAAGTCCTGGCTCTGCATTATGGGAGTTGAGCACTTAATAAGTGGTGGTCATTGTGTAATCAATATAGAAGTTCCGCTAGGCATCAACTTCCCCTTTACCAGACACAGTAACTGGGAACCATTCAGATTTGTCTGAAATCAGCCAAATTTGGCAGATGGAGATAAAGCTTTTAAAGTCCAGGGAATGAAGTAATCTTTTGATGAAAATAAACATATGCTTGTAAAAGTTATGATTTTTGGGGGGTTGCTGATGGATAGCTGAGTAATGGTTTATAGTTTTGAAGAGTTCCTTGTTTAAAAAAACACAATTTAGATTTTTCTGATTCTAAGATACTACAGTTTTGCTAAAGTAGGAAAATGGAACTGATAATTCATGGTTGATTTTTCACTATACAATTTGTCCAAATGTGTGCCTTTTTTTAGAGGTACATTGGGAAAAAAGGACTTATATTAGGAAATGAATAAGAATGTAAAAAAAATGGATCATTCTGCTTTACATGATGCATTGTTGGTATAAAGCCAAGATATTGTGGATAGAAATGTGTGGGGCTTTTTCAGCTGATGCTGGAATAAGAGAAAAGATGAATCCATTGTTTCTTAGAGAAACTTTGAAAAGTTTTAATGTTTTCTGGTAATGTTTTTGTGTTTGTTTGTTTTGTTTTGTTTCTTTTTAAACAATAATTTAAGGATCCTGACCAGTGCTGTGAATGTGCTGAAGCATACTCTGTTCTTAACATACTGGGTCAGGGCTTTTAATTCTTTCTAACTTGCTTAATAGCTACAATATTAACTTTACTTAGTTTTTTTGACCGTTTGTTGAAAAGTTTGTTAAAGAGTTTAAAAATTAATAAATGCCAATGTATACTTTTATAAACATTAAGATTCTTGCATCTGGGATAATATTCGGTTATATAATCTATTGCAACATGTCCACTCATGGTGTATAAGTTACCAGTCATGAAAAATTCTCCTAAAGGCCTTTTGGTCTTATATGCAAATGATCAGGGAGAAGTAAAATCATTTCAGTCAATTGCCTGGCAATTATAGTGTATACAGAACGTTAAAATATGAATTAAATTGGGCTGTGGCAATTTGAAAGTTAGGTTTCCTGGCTGACACAATCGAAAGTACCCAGTAAGACCACAGCACATATACCCAACAGGTGTGTAAGATACAGCTGTCTCCTGCCCCCACCCCACTCCCCGCTCAGGTGGGATAACTGTTACTAGGTACTTGCCAAAGATATCTCCAAATTGTAGGATGAATAAATTCCTCTCTCTGGAGAGGCAATTACTGTTTGAATAAGATGTATCTGTGTGTGGTATAAGACTTTGAGAGAATTGATGTAATGATTTCATCATCACCTAGCGGTGATGAGGCTTTGCTAGTCTGAACAGAACTTCAGTGGGAAGAACTTGTACTTACTTAATGGAGAATTTGTTATTAGGGCATATGTGGTACAGTAACTTTACTGCTGGAAAAAGTTAATTGTATGGACCAGTTTTCTGTGTGTTAGAACACTAAGCTGAGATTTTGCACTTATTATGTGTGGCCCCTACTGTGAGCTTTATGTTCTTTGCCCATCAGCTTTGGCCTGCCTGCCTTAATTTTTGTGACAGAATTCAAATTTCTTTTGATTCTATTGATAAAGTTATAACGTGTCTTGAAATATTTTGTGTAATTTTAGCTTTAGGTATTTCCATAGATAACTTGGTTACAAATTTTCTGTGCATCTGCGAACATTGTATTCTGATGTGGCTACAGAGGGGAAATTCCTAGTAGCCAGGAAATTGATACTTTCTACTTTTCATTCTGTGGCATTTAAAAGCAGGTTTATTGTTCCAGTGTCTTCACTCTGATGTGATTAGGATGTACATTGCTCACCAGAATATTAAAAAAAAAAAAAAAAAAAAGATTATCTGAGGAAATCAATTCTAGAGTGTGGCCGGGTCTGTCAGTGGCTCTGTGGTGGTTTAGTGGTTAAGAGTATGAACTTAGAGTCAGATGAGGATTTTTAAAAATTGTTTTAACTTGAGAGATAGCATACAGTAAAGTGTAAAGTGCCCTAATACTATGTACAGTTCCTGAATGTGTGTCCACCACCTCGCTCAAGAAGTAAACATTTTCAGTGCCCCAGAAGGTGCCTGTGCCCCTTTCTAGTCTGTATCCACCCGCTAGAGGGAACCGTTATTCTAACTTTCATATCATCTTAGATGTGACTCCTTTCATAGAGATTGATTTTGCCTGTTCTTGAACTTAATATAAGTGGAATTACAGAGTCATACAGTGTCGAGTCTTTTGTGAAACGGACCTGGTTTTGAGTTGCATTTCTGCCACTGTGTGACTGTGATTCCTGTAACTAAGTTACTTAACCTCTCTGTGTGTTTCTTCATTTGTGAAAGGGGGAAGATAAAGCTCTCAGATTTACTAAGAAGATTCATGTGATCATACACTTACAGTATCTAGCACTGTGTTTGACATACACTTTCTTTGTCGCCCTTTTATTTCTTTCAAGGGATGATAACTAAAGCAACTATATCTTTCTTGTTTTAATATGCCGTTTCATTATAAAAGTTATGTTGATCTTTTACTGGAAGTTAGAAGCCAAGTCTTTGTTGATTTAATATTTTGTTGATGTAGCTTTCAGCTTAAATAAGACGTATTATGTCTTAGTAATTGATCTCCTATTATTTTTAATTGACATTTCCTCTGTAAGTCATGAAATGACAGTCATTGAAATGTAGAGCTGAGGGGCGCCTGGGTGGCGCAGTCGGTTAAGCGTCCGACTTCAGCCAGGTCACGATCTCGCGGTCCGTGAGTTCGAGCCCCGCGTCGGGCTCTGGGCCGATGGCTCAGAGCCTGGAGCCTGTTTCCGATTCTGTGTCTCCCTCTCTCTCTGCCCCTCGCCCGTTCATGCTCTGTCTCTGTCTGTCCCAAAAATAAATAAAAGTTGAAAAAAAAAAAAAAAGAAATGTAGAGCTGATCAGTCACTTGCAATCACCTGCATGGAATGAGCTGTGGTGCAAGGAAGACAGTTTACACTTGATTATGAAGTCTATGGAAGAGTT